AGGCTTGAAATCATCATAGAAATTGGCTGATTTTTGAGGTGTTTGTTGGAACCCAAACGGTGCTCTTTTTAATGGTTCAGCGCTCACTAATGTGGGCAATCTAATTTTTTTCTGTAACTCCAACCCAATTCCCAGCCTAAATGAGAAGAACAGTGCAACAGCTTTCAGAACAGATTGGAGCTCTGTGCTGCAGTCGGCAAACTGGGTGGTGTCCATGTGGCAGACAAGCTGCCTTATAATATTGGGCAATAAACAAGCAGGAACCACTCTGATTTTTAGCAACTGCACCATAGTTTCTCATCCTTGGGTAAGATTAACCTTAGGTCTGCAAGAACACTAACATTTAAGAATAAAAGGTCTGGGTGACTGCCAGCCTCCCTGTCTGGCAGTGGAAAAAGTTTTCATTTGTAAGGGGTGTGTTAAAACGGTGCTTCTGTCATGATTGGGATCCTCTGGCATGTCTTGAGTTAAATATAAATAACATTCTGCAGAAAAAATGGTAGATGCTAAAAATGGTAAATGAATTAGGCGTCAGTATTATGGTTGAAATGTGTTCTTCAGCTGGATCTTCGAACAGCAGAACATGTCCCGTTTCTGCCTCCACAGATTTCCTATCGGTGAGTATTTCCGTGTGCTCGTACAACCTCACTCAGGATGGTGTGTGCTCCACAAGTAGAAGGTTTTGTGGGTGCTACCGGTAGATGCTGTTCCTGCTTGTTCTGTGGTGGCTGTTTTGCAAGTGGGACAGGGAGTAGGCCGTTTTGTCCCAGAGACCCGCAGCATCGTCTGTCTCTGCAGAAGTGGCAGCAGCCTCGCATTTGGGGCATGAGAACCACTTCCACCCTTCTCCCTAGAAGGAGACGGCCCTTCACAGCCATGCCTAGCTTGAAGACATGGTCTGGAGGAAGCCCCGCCACGGGACAACAGATGGGATTTTGGGAGCAGACAGATCTGCGTGCTGGAGATTTGCTCTGTTTACAGGCGCCTGTGGGCACACAGACAGACACGACCACTCCAGCCGCGGCGGCAGCCGTATGCCAGAGCTGAGTAGGGCAGCATCCTTCCAAATAGCAGCTTGGCCCATCTGCATTTAGAATTATTTTGACGTTATCATCTGAGAGACGAGAACCACCAGTGCAGGCAGAGCTTGTGGTGTCTGGCTGTTCTTACTCGATGGGAAGGACAGAGTGGGATGGCATCTGTTTGTATTTAACCCACTCCTGTGGGGACATATATCCTTCACATGCGTAGCTGTTTGTCCCTTCTCTCATCTGAGCACCTTACTGTGGCTAATGGCTTTCTCCTCATGATACCCATGTGACAGGGGGAATATCATCCTCATCTTTCAGGTGGGGACCTCAGACCTGGACAAGCCAAGTGCTGCCCAGAAGGTGGTAAAGGGGCCGTGCACTGGGCACAGCTGGCTGAGACCTGGTCTGGTGCCCAGCCCACAGGATCAGTGGTCCTTAACCTGTAGTTCACCTGGAGCCCATCAACACAATTTAACATTGCCTGAAGTCATGGGATTGGGTGCCTTCCAAAATTTGCTCTTCAGCAAGTTTTCCCATATTTCTTTGAGGGAAAACGTTAGGAGGAAATGGAGTTGATTGCGATGGTAAATGCGTTTTAGATGTGGCAATGAACTGAGCGCTCCCGATATATCACTTTTCCCTTTGTGCTGACACATTCCTCGGTCCCCTTGAGTAAGAGAAGGAAAACAGGAGAGGCGGTTTGAAGAACATGTTGTCCCTGTGATTGACAAGAGATTGTATAAATCAGTCAAAGGGAATCCTCCAGGCATTCCCTCTTGTGGGAAGATCCCACAGTGCTCTCTGGCCTTGTTCGTTCTGTCTCTCGATGTTTGTGTACAAAATGTGTGGGTGGGAGACAGGCTGGATTAGAACCTCCGAGAGGAACAGACATCAGCTTTTTTAATTGAAAGCAGCTTCCCAGGGAGGGGTATGACATGGGCTTCCAGTAAGCAGACACAAATAGTCCCCGAATACTTTGGAGCAGATGCTAAGCTCCTGTGGATTCCGGTTGCTGTGTGGGTCTGAGAACCTGGAGCAGCCCCGGTGAGTGAAGTCTTCTGAGCCTGGCATGATGCCGTCATTCTTCAAAGCAAATACATTAGTGGTAACACCCTGAAATGAGAAGTACATCTATCCCTCCTTCCCTCCACAGCTGTCAGGTGCTTTAGCTGCTGTTTTGCATCACTGTAGCAAACCAGAGGATGTTAGGAAATAATTTCTTTCACATAAGTGGGAATTCCTATGAATTTGTAGCCGTGAGGAGAGACGATGTTCTGTCTTCCAGGCCATTGGAACTTGTAGCTTAAAAGTAGTGGTACTGCAGTAATAAGTGCCTTCACGCTGTTGCCATCTTTCAGGGGTGCCTTAAAAGCAGGTGTGTGAAAGACTCTCCCAGCAAATGGTCCCCAGACTTTGCAGTTGTGGTGTGACACTCAATAACTAGGTGGGATTGAAAGGGGGATGTATTTACCATGTGCGTTGGAGCCTGTTGAGGTGGTGGAGTTTGCAGGTGATGGCGACTATTTATCCAACCTGGTTGTTACTACGAAGTCTTAAAGAACTTTCTTGCTGTTAGCTAAGTTTACTAGATGGCAGCTAATGTAGAAGAGGCTCATGTAGCCACTCCTAATGCCGTGTCTGTTAGACTTGTCGAACACTTCCCACTTACATTCTTCTCCTAGAAGAACATTTTACCCCAGTACCACTTCGAACCACTTTGTGTAACGACGGATCAGCCCCAGCAGGAGGAAGCTTATCTAACCTGTTCAAACCCGACCATACTGAGTCTGCACACCTCAGCTCTCCTGTCTCAAACACAGGTTCTTTATGCAATGTTAAGGGTTTTTCTAATATTCTCAGGCAGAAGCAGAAAGTACTGGAGTTCACACACGCACACAAATCAAACCAGGCGTTTGAAAGTTATCAGAGATCTCCAACCCACCTCAGCAGGGGTTTATTTTGGGTTTGATTCAAACTTTTGGTGAAGGTCTGGGTGATTTCTTAATACAGGTTTTCACTCATCCATTAAGTGGTACTTAAAATGCACCAAACATCAGTACTTTTGTTTCTTTCAACCACTTTTTTTGGACCAACTGAGCAGGAGGAGATATAAGAATATGAACAAATCATATAAAAGTAATGAGACCTTTGTTCATGTCAAAGAGCTCTCTGACCATATAAATTGCAGATGTGGTTAAGATAAATTCCCTAGCTGGAGAGGTATTAAAATAAAAACCATGCTCCCAACAAGAGACAGGCTGCTGAAAATGCAAGAAGGGAAAATTGCGAAATGGTACATGTCGAATTGCTGGCCTGGATTTCAAATGCCAAAGATAGTTTATGTAAAGCCTTGCTCTGCTGTAAAATGTAACACTATCCACTGGCTAGCCTCAATGAAGCTTGGTCCCAGTTGTTTTAAAAAATAAATAAACTAAAAATCTTCTTCCAGCCCATTAAAGCTGATTTATGTTTTGCCCATAGATTCCTCTGTTCTGGATCTTGAGGGACTCAGATTATAGAGGTGATTACCTCACTTTCAGCCAATCTGGTTTCTCGTTCCCAGGCATCCCAGGCTTTCTTTGCATTGCTCAGACTTTGCCTGCCGAGACTGAGAGGGCACTTCCATGCAGAATTACTGAGTGGGCATAGAATTTTGAATAGTTAAAACCAGCTCTGTTAATTCTCCCTTTCACTTCAGGGTTTTCTTTGTGCTTTAATAATCAGGGAAGTTTCTTATGGGAACAGCTTTAGTGACAGCTCATCACCACCTGGTTGCCGAGTTCAGGCTCTGGTCTTGGGAAGTAATCCTATACCTTCCCCAAGAGTGCATAGCTCCAGTGAGCACCTAGTGTGAGTGGTCTGTGGGGTCAGTCCCAGGCTCTCCTGTGGGCAGCACAGTTGCTGGAGGGGGTTTGGCCTCTTGGGTTACATTCGTAGTTCCATTGCCACTGTACTGTGTGACTACAAGGAATTTCCATGACTCTGGGATTGACAGGCACTGAGTTCACCTGTGCTGTGAATCTTAAGAGGTATCCTTCAGATGCTCCGAGAGCCTCAGCTGGAAGCATCCTTCTAATGGAGCTGTAGCTTTTTGCATGGTGGGCATTTTCTTTATGTTTGTTGGGGGTATGAAGGTTATGGTCATGCATGTTTCTTCTTCGAAGCAGCTTCACTGAGCAGTGTGGTTTCAGTGTAAATCCTACCATTTCTTGCAGCTTCATTTTCACATCATACATGCTGAAAGCACTTCAAGGCTCTCTGATACTTAAATTCATGCATCTTCTTCTTTGAGCTTTTCATCCATGCCAGCACTTGGGGTTCATCTACTTCTTCTTTATTGAAAAGAGCAGTTCGCTGAGAATCCCACTGCTGTCTGCCATGGAAAGTGCTATAGGTGTAGGAAGGAGGTGATTCCACTTCCAGAAACTAGTTAACAAAACAAGAAACTAGTTTGCTTAAAATGGGTTGTAGAGACAGGCCTTTCCTGGCGACACTTGTTTCCAAGTTTACATGGCCATCTGTGGCTTCCCTGGGGTTACAGTACCCCGCAGGTTGAAATAGGACATTGCTTGAGTACTGTGGAGAGCACCTGCAGGCTGCCTGTGCTGTGAGTTGGTACATTCCGAAGTCATCATCACTTTGACTCCAGTGGGAAGGGTCGTGGTCCGTTTGGGTGGGAGCAAAGTTGTTCTGAATGCTGTCAAAGACCTCGTACCAAATTAAGGGGGAACTGTTGGCTGCGATCCATCTGCTGTGAGTCCTTAGCTCCTTTTCATGTTTCAGTTTTTCTTACTCAGATGGAAGACCTGGAAACTTAAATTTTGAGTGATCTCATGGTATTTAGAAACATCATATTGTGTATGATTTTATTCTAGTAGTGCACCTGGACATTTTTCCTCACTTCAAACAGTCATAATCCTCCCTCGCTATAATCTACGTCTGTTTTGGCGTTTCTTTTTCCTCCTGCAGATGTGTCGAACCAAGGTGATTGACTTGAACGATGGCATCTCTCAGTACGCCTGGTATCCCTGCACAGCCAACTTCCCATACTCCCACATGACACCGACCATTTTCTGGCTGAAGGTAAGAAGTGCACGTGTCATTCAGAAGTCTTCTCTTTGCCTGCCTCTACAAAGTTTCTCAAACAGGCAAAATATCATGGGAGAGTCTTCCCAGGGCCAAGCTGCTCATTTCTTTCAAGTATGTTTAATGCAAAATAGCAAAACAAAGTCTCTGAGCACTGTTAGAGAGTCAGTGGTGAAGTCCCCTCCTGTGACAAGGCTATTGAATTTCTGAGAGGTTACAGCCTCCAGCTGCAGGGCTGTTTGACTCCAGTTTATTTAGTTTGTGTAGGAGAGATTGGAAGAGAAGACTTCTGTGTGACCTGGGACAGGAATTGTTATTTTAAAAGTCCTGCACTGGCTCTTGGGTTGTTTTAAAGCTCACCACGTTTTTCCACCTCAGCCTTTGGGGGGGGCTTTTGTTTTCCTAGGCTTATTTTTCCCAACCTATGGTAGCTGCGGCAGTCCTGGTTCACTTGGTCACTGACGGGACCTATTACCTGGATCAGAAGCAGGAGACCATCGGTGTGCAGCTGTTTGACACCAAAGAGCAAAGCCATGATCTTGGTAAGATTGTGTTTCGTTCAACTCCCTCTTTATTACTTGCTTAATCTGCTGGTACTCCCATCCACAAACTGACCAATATTCCTGCTTAGGTTTTCCAGGATCAGAGAAAAAACATGCTTTCTTAATGCTCCAAGACTTGACTTTGACTAGAGTTTGTTGAAAACGATGCATGATTTTATGCAGACATTTCTCCATACCTATTTCCTATGTTTTCAGAAGCGGTTGGCTCCTCTCTAGTCATTACAATAAAGCACTCTCTCATGCACAGCACCTCCCTGGAGAGACACTGCCAGCGACACAGATGAACTGCTGGGAGCAGGGAGTGAGGGACTTGCAGCAGCTGGGGCAGCAAACACTTCTGCTTTGCAAGGTGTCGTTGGGCAGACCGCTAGCCCTGCTTGCAGGGAGGTTCCCACAGCTACGTAATGGCCAGCGTTTTTCACACAAAGCATTTGAGGTCTGAGGAAGGTCTAACACCAGGGCCCTTGCAGGCTCTTTGCATGGCCTCAAGCAGATGTGCCTGGCCGAGGCTGTGGACTTGCCAGTTGTGTGGAAGTCCCAGGATAAACCATTTTTTGTCTCTACCCTGGGCACAGGTCCCTGAACCTGGGAAAGTTGTATTTGGTGAATTGATTCTGGCTGCAGTTAAGCTATGGGACCAAGGAGCTCACCCTAGCTCCCAGCTCTGTGTCAGGGTAGGACCTGTATAATCCCTTTCCAGCTGTCCCCTGTCCCTTTTTTCCCCATGGGAAGAAAGCTGGCCATGTCACCCTGAGAGCAGTTTTTGAAGAAATACAATTCCCCTCACCCAGATTTCAGTTTAACCATAACTGTGCAAATTTGACAAGCTGAAACTCAAATGAACTTCCTACTAGTGATGAGAAGAAGAGACACATGAGGGACAAGTGTTGGATGACTATCCAGGGTAATATATAATTTAGTGGGGTATGGAGGAAAAGAAAGAAAGCATGTGTGGTGTCTGTTGTTGGAGAACAAACCGGAATTCATAGCAAGTTGTGCAGGTTGAGTCAAGATAGCTCCCAGTTTGCCAGAGCCCCTGGATCAGTCTTACCCTCCTCCTTTCGGAAAACAGTGGCACATAGCTCTTCCCCTCTGAGAAATAAATGATCGAGACACAAGCATGCCAACCAGTACTGCGACCTTTTATAGAGACAGATTGTGAGAGAAAGAGCACAAGGGAGAGGAGCAGAGAGGAAACTGAGGGCGAGGTTTTGAAACCCTTGATGAAGTTGCAACATGAGTTTGGCATGGCTCAGGCTGCTGCCTGGAGATCTTCACCGCTGAAATGCTGCCTTCCTCATGGAAAAGACCCTCTGACCTTTTCAGGAGAGGCTGGCCTGGAGCAGAGGAGAGGTGTAGGTAGGTTACCCAGCACCTCTCACTCAGACAGAGCTCCCAATCCCTGTATTGTCTGAGTTCTGGGTGCGGCATTAAGTTCTTTTCCTGGATATTGTATTTGATGTGTTTGAATTATCACCGTGACAAGCTAGAAACTGCAGCTGAGATGCAAACTTTGGCATGCACTGGGTGCAGGATTGACTGCAGATGGTCAGCCAGCCTGAAGCAGAAGTCAGTGGCAAACAAAAAGTATGTCCAAAAGGAAATAGCAATAATTTAAAGCTTGATGAGTCTGCAGTGTGCTAAAGACACTCCCCTGAGCAAAATGCAGTCTATCCAGGAGTGCTGTATCCCACCTTCATCAGAGCAAGTTTTTACCATGTGGACTCCCAGGAAATAATGAGAAGCTGCTTCTGATCATCAGTAGGAGATGGTAAGGCTGGGATACCCAGCACCTCAGCGCTGCTAGATCGGAGCCATTGGAGATGCTGGGGTTTGGCTGCTGGGTACTGGCAGGAGCTGTTGAGCATCAAATCGGTGGGTACAGAGTTACAGAAACAGGGACAAGCATGCAGTCAGCTCTAACTGCCCTGCCACGGGCGCCTGTCCTGTCTTGAGTGCTTTTTGCTAAGGAAGGCAGGTTAGTTACACGAACCTGACCTGTTTGGCCCCCGTTTATCTTGTCTGGGTCAGAAAGCACCAGCAACTGCAGCACCGAGGGTCTGTTTTGTTGTGGACACCACCTGAGTGCAAGGAATGAAATTGAAGTGAATAAACAGCCTCATACCATAAGGTCTTTCTTGGCTTTCCATCAGAGAAGGCAAAAACTTCCAAGGAATTTGGGAACCCGGGATTTTGAGTATTAACTGCACCTGTTTGTAAGTGAGAAACGTGCACTGTTCCACAAGGAGCTGATATCAAAAGACCTGTGGGAGGCAAGTAGACAGGGAGGTTATTTCAGGGTCAGGTAAAGACCAAAACAAAAAGAGGGTTGCTTTTTTTTTTTTTTATATTACAGGAAGATTTTTTTAAAGTAGAGGGTGGGAGATAGATGTTTAAAGAGGGTGGTCAGAAGTCTGTCTAATTCACAGGAAATCACTTTCTAAGGAGGAAAAATGAAAACTTTTTTATTCCTTTCCTTTTGAGTCAAGAAACCTGAACTGGAAAAAAAGCATAATAATAGAAATCCCTGAGCCAGTCAAACATGCAAATAGAATTTATTTTATTTTCAAATTTGTAAGTGTACCAGGGTAGCCAAAAGGCTTGTGCCAAAGCCGTTGCTGGGGGAGCTCCAGCGAAGCAAATGGAGCTGGAGCCAAACTGAATCTCGGAGCGATGCCACGGAGCCGTGGAGGCAGGGCTTTGCAGTCAACCATCAGGCTGTGAATCTCAATTAATCAATTTTGAGGCCAGCTGACAGCTGTCTGTCCTTTGAGTTACCCCTGAGATGGATTTGGCCCATCTGAATTCAGGTTGCCTCTACTTGAAGATGGGCTTTTCTGCCCAGCCATCACTGATTGCCTTCTCCACTGAAGAAAAAGGATTAAGAAGTCTTTGTGTCACCTCTCTGGTGCTTCTGTGAACGTCAACCTCTCGAAATACTTTTATTTTTCCTGAAACACAATTATTTTCTTCTCGAATGAGGTCACCTATAAAAACTTCAGTGGATCCATCACCCTCGTTTCTCTCTCCAGGGCCATCTTTGCCATCTTTAGCAAAGAGCAAGATACCCCAAGGCTGAAAACCATCCAAAAAATCAAAACTGGGCACATTTAGTGTAGAGCTCATGGAAAAGAATTTTACGTTGAGTGCTAATGACATGCACAGCTACAAACAAGCCACTGGTGCACTGCCCATGGTGCACAAAGCCACCCAGCTTGCCGGCACCATTTGATGCGCGGTATAAAGGCTCCAACTGTCCTCTCAGCCTGGTTTTACAATAGTGCAACTCTGCTTCCTCCGTGATGGTTGCTCCTGATTTAACAGAGCACAATAGGAACGTAGCTGTGGTCTAAAGAAACTGCTCTGAGAGCCTGCCGCGCTCGCGGAGAGAATGGCAGCCTTTCTTCAGCTGTCTGGAGGGATATACTTCTCCGCTAAGCTCTCCGAAGCGATTTGGGAAGCCCCTCCAGGCAGCTTACCATAACTTTTCAGCTCTATAGGGCCGTTCCTTTGGGTGAAATGCTTCTGAAGTGCCCAAGGCTTCGGGAAGCGATTGTGTTAAGTCTGACCCTTCCTCTGATCTTGTCTCTCTTCTGGCAGGTGTCCACGTCCTGAGCTGCAGGAACAATCCCCTGATTATCCCCGTCATCCATGACCTCAGTCACCCTTTTTATCACACCCAGGCTGTCCTCATTAGCTTCAGCTCCCAGTTTGTGGCCATCTCCGGGGTGGCCCTGCGTTCCTTCCACAACTTCGACCCCATCACCATCAGCAGCTGCCAGCGAGGACAGACCTACAGCCCGGCGGAGCAGAGGTGAGCCTGTCAGCTTGCTTCCCCCTGCCCCGCCACCCACCGCCCCGCGCCGCCCGCCTGCACCACGGCTCGCGAGGACGCAGGACCCTGCTGACCCTTTTGTGTCGCTGGGAAAGAAACGGCAGTGTTCTCATTGATCAGGATGGATGGGACACTTAACCCGCATGGGATACTGCTAGTGAATTATTTCCTCTTCCTTTCTCCTCCCTCCTTTATCCCAAACTTGGAATTGAGGCCAGTTAACTCTCCATACATTCCCCAGTATGGCATCGTTTTTGCCACTCACACACCAGCTTCAATCTAAACCGCTTTGTGCTGGTAAAGTGCTACAGGGACCTCCCACGGAAGCAGTTGCGCGGAGACAAAGTGATGCCTGTGCCCTGGCGGGGCTGGATCCTGCCAGATGCTCGGCCCTGTCCAGCGGGTGCTTGGCCACCAGCATTTGTGGTGCGTTTAGGGCTGGGTAAGGGCCCTCAGTACCTCCCCGGATCCAGCCCACGTTCTGAAAAGCTCTGTGGGACCCCCCAGGATGAAAGGTTTATGGCTACCGTTTTATTCTTGTTGTTATTACAGACACATCAATAGATCACCACCAAGCCCTCTCAGTCTCTGCTTTACAGCATCCCACAGAGATTGTGACCTTTCGTGGCCTCTGGTGCGGCAGCTTCATGGATCCTTTCAGCGAGGCAGTGAAAAGAAGAGAGGAGAATTTAGCAGAACCCCTGAAAGAATAATTTTTTTTTTCTTCTGTGAATTCAAAGTTGTGAGCAGTCGTCATACCATAGCGGCAGCACTAGTAAAACATGCTGCATATCCCAGCAAACCTCTGCTCAGCCTCCTAAGCAAGCTGTCAAGTTTTTTGATAATGTTCTGGCTTGTTTTTAGGATCTGCTTTTATTCCAGGAAAGGCGGGAGGGCGAGAAGGGGGAGAGGGAAGGGAAAATAAAATTATTTTAAAAGGAGTATATCTATAGCTAAATCAATCCAGTCAGTGTGTTCTGACCTAGATTCAAGGAGTCTGATCATTCTGTGCAATAGGTTGTATAAATTCAGAGGCCCAAAGACAGCAGGATCAAGTTTCAGAGAAGTCTAGTTGTGGAAGTTTGGCCAAATCCCAGTGCAGGAGCGGGACAGAAAAAGAGCAAGAAAGACCCATTGGAAGGAGATGGTGAGAAGCAACAGGGAGCTCAAGAGGGCTGGGACGCGCAACCACATTCCTCCCTCTCAAGTTTTCAGTAGGAATTGAACCATTTGTTCACTTATGAAATTAGAAGTGCTCTGTGTTTAGAAAGTTATTTCCTTAATAAAAAATGCATTCCCCTTAGGCAAAGCTTCGGCGAGCCTCTGCTGCCCAGCAGACTAACCTTTAGAAATCTCTTGAAGAAGAATCACCCGCCGCTTGCCTCTTCTTTTTCCTCTTGCTTTTTTTCTTTTTTTTTTTTTGCATTGTTTTGTTTTGGTGATGCACTGAACCATCTCAACCCCTTGCTCTCCAACACTTCTGTCAGAGCCGCGCTCGTTCACAGTAACAGTTTAGGTCTTGCAGGTTACAATGCTGGATTGATCATGAAGTTTCCCATGTCAGTCAAGCAACTAGAAACTCTCCGAAATAAAGCCCCGATCCAATGCCGATTGAAATCAGTGGGACTTTTTCTATTGATCACAGTGCTATAGTGGAAAATCTCCAATTTGCTTTGGGGTGGGATGGTTTTGGGTGACCATATAGGCTTTCTTCTTCTGTACCTGAAACTCTGAGTAGTACCCAAGATGTACAGAAAGTTGTGCAGCCAAAAATAGGTGACACCTTTGCATCTTTTCTTTCATTATTTTACCCAATCCAGGAAGAACATAGAAAGAGGGATTTTTAAAGTTTATTCTTAAATAAGTTCAGAAGCTGGATGTGGGGTTTCTGCCTCCCATGCTCATGGTCTCCTCATCAGGCCCCTTTTCAGCACCAGTTCCACACTGCCCATCCTTCCCTTCTCTCCTTTCCCCACTGATTACATTTGCCTGATATGATTCTAAAAATATTTATTTAATTCTTAAAACAACTTTCCTTCCTATGTGTAAGCATCAAGTTTACTGCTTCCATTTTCCTTAGGTAAATATGGATATTTTTGCTGGCTTTTTGGCTTCTCACTATGATTATTTCTCTCTCTTCAAGAAGAATTATTTTGGTTGGAGAGGATTTACAGCCAGATACACTAGGCAAGGGTGCAGATTTTAAATATGTGAGGGAAAAGAATATATCAGCTCTTAAAATTTAACACAGCTTTTATTTTGCGGATGAATGGATCGCTCCCCTGGGTTAGTGACAACTTAATAACTGAAAATAAAACATGCGCTCACTCTTCTTTCTTAAAATATGTATTACAGTGAATATTTTAGGAGAGAAGAAAGGAGCTGAAATGCAAACATCCCATTGAACTTTATAGGTAGTTGTCCTCCGTTATCGTTAGCTCGTTTGAAAATCCATTCTATCTTTCTGAAGACATTTATAGAGAGTTTGAAGAAAATATGCTCTGCACTTCGCGGTTGTGTTTTTCCAGTTGTTGTTTTTCCTGCTGCAGCTGACCACAGGCTCTTCTTTGATTCCAGTGAAAGGTTTACCTCACTGCTGGAGATGTGCTGTAAAAACGACACACTTGGTTTTCACATTGCATCCTTAGAGCAGATATAATGGCTCAGTTAGTTCTTCTCTTGTGCTTTATAGCTCAAATGGCCCAGTTAGTCCTTCTATTGTGCTTTATAGCTCAGATTATTGTACTTTTATTATTTCCTATTTAGCCTCGTGGAGAGGACGGTGAAATGGGGTGTGCGGATGCAGAGGTATAATTTCCCACCCCGCAGCCACTCGAGCAGCGAGAAAACCTGGTGCATTGGGCTGCCTTTGGCAGCCGTTCCTCGGAAATCAGGTTTTTGTCCTTTTCACCGTGTAGGAAAGAAACATCAGCTGGGGCTCTCCCATCCCTGGCAAGGCTGTCCTTGGGAAATCCTGCTCTTCCTCGGTGGCAATTCCCTGTCGTGTTCATGAGAGCCATCCTCTCCTCCATCCCGACTGGTGCCATTTGCTCCTCTCCTGGAGATTGCAGGCAGGAGGTGTGAAAACCCAGGTAGGCACCCCAATTCAGCTGTCAGAATGGTGGATTTCAGAAGTCTCCAGCTTTCTTATCCTCCGCTAAGTCCACGTTTATAACGAAGATAACCCCTCCCTTCCCTGCGGTGAGCTCTGGCTGCCCGCAGCTCTCCGGTGTGCCTGCCCCACATTGTGCAGCTACTCGTGCTTTCTAGGTAGTGTAGCAAAAAGATTTTCCTTTTCTTTGTTTAGTTAAAACTTGGTACAAACTCACTGTTACAGCTGCAAAATTGCTTCTGCAGGGGAGATTTGGGGTTTACCTTCCTCCATCCGTGCGCACATCCGGGCGTTTGACAGCCGGGGGAACCAGCACTGTAGACCAAGACCCACTCCTGGCCAATATGCCATTGCCTGTCCTTGCCCTGGCCTCTGCGGAGAGCCGTCACCCTTTGCTGCCCCTAACAAGCCCCAGGGAGACATAGCCCACTTCAGCTCTTCTCTTTGTATTCTCCTCTCCTGCTGTCAGCTTCCCCAACAAGAAATGATGAAGATAAATCTTCAGCCGGAGAACAAATGCAACTGCCCTTTATAACTCCAGTTATTCTTTTCCTTTTTATAATTGGGGGTGGTGGGGGGGGAAGGGTCTCCTTGTCTCTTTATTTCGTGATTTAGTGCAGCTTTCTCTTTCCCGATTCAGCCGCTTTTCCCCTGCCCTGCATTCTGTCATTAAGCGCAGTCTCTGTCAGCTTGCTTCTGGTGAAATTAATGAATTTCTCACAGAACTGTTAATCATAGAAGCTTTGGTCCATGACATGTGTTATAATTCAGTGGGTTTTTAACCTTCGCCCCATTTTGGTAATTGGCAAAAGGCATCATTTGGCTTTTATTAAAGCGGAAGGCGAAGTGTTTTCTGCGTTTGCCTGGGCAGACTCTGTCAGGGAGACCCGTGGGGCTGCTAACACCCAGGCACACAGCCCTGCTTCCAGGCTGGCAGGGCACAGGGGCTTTGAGAGCTTTGTTGGTTCAATAGGGACCCCCTGCCCCGGGCAGGAATATCTCACACAGTGGGGTGCAGGCAGGCTGAAGGCAGAACCAGTCCCCAGGGAGGATGCTGCCTTGCCAGTGACGGGGACAGCAGTGGGGACGTGCTGGGTCACCCCTCTACTTCTCCTACAGCTTACCTGGGGTTGGATCAAGTGTTTTCTGGAAATCTCTGGGGTTATCTACATTCCTGAGAGTATCAGTTTGAATTAAGATTTTGTTGTGATCATTATTGGTGTCAGGCCCAACGGTATGGCAGTGTGATCGCTGAAGGGACCATAGGTGATGCTGCTGTTTTGGTCACTCTTGTGGGCCAGATTTGAAGGCAAACATCCAGAAGTAAAGGACTTGATCTTTCTTCCAGTGACACAGTGAGCAGAGTTTCACCAGTCCCCACCGAGCACTGCAGATTTGGGTAGATGGTCTTTGAGATTTTGTGTTAGTACAAGGAGACCGATGTGTTTTAAGTGAAGACTGAAGAAGATAAATTCATTCCCATCTTTGTAGTTCAAACTTTTTTATTTCTACAACAAGGAATATGGCTAACAACCTTTGCTTTTCAATATGGTGAATGTGTTTGGATTAGAGACAGAGAACTTGCTCTTGCTTTTAGGGAATCTCTGCGGAGAAGATGAACCCCCTAATAGGCTAAATATGTTAGAAACCCCCTCAGAAGTTTACCTCTGTGTGAGTTGTGTGAATGATGGCCTAGAACAAAACCCAAGTAAGCTTCAGATTGGCAGCCCAGGCGGGCCAGAACCATGGTAAAGGAAGGTTTTCCTATATACAATAGATAATCTTGTGGTTCTTCTCTTAACTAGTGTATATCACAAGCTTTTATATTCACCTGGGCATACAAGTGTCAGAGCTTTTTGAAAGAGGAAGTCCTGGTTTATTTTTATATGAGGAAGGAAGAGTTCCACTTAATTGTTATAATTCTCTATAAACATATTAAAATACAAATGTTTCTAGGATTGTGTCACTAAGACCCCAATTTAGCAAAGCCCTTGGCTATTTGCTTACATCCCCCTGTAGTCAAATCTACCAGTGGGACTTAACCATGCTTTTGAAGTTAAGCACATATTTAAGCGTCTTGCTGAATTGGGGCCAATATTGGCACAGAGAAATGAAGGTTTAGAGGCTAATGACTGCGCTCATTTAGATTAGGGATGGGCAGAATGGATTTGAATAATGAAAAAGCTGGCTCAGAACTTCAGCCTACATGTGAAGCTAACTCAGTTCAGAGCTTTTTACATCACAAACGCTCTGCCTCGATCTGTGTTTTTAACATGCTGAAGACAGTGGAATGTGTGCAAGAAATCCACAGCTCCTTGCACTCAGCTTGGTGTGAAGGTATTGCTTTGGGAAGTCATACACTACCAGGGCAAGAACAGGAACCGGTGAACGCTGAGGTTGAATCAGTAAATCATTAGAGCGGCCCTTGGGCCCCTTGTATAGCTTTCGTACAGACTGGCTCATACTCCGACAATTGATTCCCAGACGCATTCGGGGAGTTAGGATAGACCAGGGATGATTTGAAAAAGGCAGTTTTGATGAAGTCACCCAATTTTGATTGCAAGAAAATGGGATAAGCTCCTCTATGTCAGTAATCAGCATGAGTTAAAGTAGAAGTGATTTCATTCTCAGATACTCTATATTGTTTCTTTTCCAAGGGATCCATAGTTTCTGGAGCATGTGATGATTAACCACTGTTAAATGGCAGTACCCATGCAAGAGCTTCTGTAACCCACAATTCTGTAATATGGATGTGATGGGTTCTTTGTCTAAACTTCCTACTTGGAGATATTCATTTCTCCTTCTTAATTCTGCATTTGCAGAACTCAATTCAGGATCATGACTTCAAAATTCATTGGGATTTACGGCTGACAGTAGCTGATACCAAATTGGAACCAGTAGCTAGAGAACCAGAAATATTTAAATTGGAAACATTTGGTGGCAGTGGTTGTTTTTTTACAAAAAGTGAATGGTTGTATTGTTTGTCACTGAAGTCATTCATATAGAGTTACAGACAGAGCGAGCTGCCCAGATCATCTGCTAACCGAGGCATAATCTGGAGCCTGGAGGGGGTGACTAAAAATGTTCCCTGGCCATGTAAGAAGACCACAAGGGGACTTGTAAACAGAAAGAACAACATCACAATAAGTGTTTCTTAATGCCTTTGTCTGTGGCGTTTCAGTTCTGTAGTACTTTTAAGCCCAGGCTTGCTCATCTGGTGTCCTGATATGAACTCAAGAACCAGATTCTTTTGCTCCTTTACATTGATGGAAATGAAAAGTAGCGCCACTTACTGCAGTGACGTTCCTCCAGATTTCCCTTTGTGCAAATCGCAAAGGTTTCCTTCGGCTCATCCTTCCTTCTGAAGCCATTCAAGACCGAATTCAGTGCTGCATTGATACGTAGCACAGTCTCACGTAAGATCGTAAATGAAATAGGTCTGCTCTTGTTTTATTTTTGCAACTTTAGTGCAAAACGGTTTTCCGATTTTGCGGGGGTTTTGCAATGGGCAGTCAAGGTTTACAATATGTACTTCTGAGAATAGCTTGGCAGTGGTTCTCGCTTTTTTCCTCAATGAGTCAACTTCCTCGTCACTGGAAGCCCTGGCACAGGAGGAACTCGTATTGCAGCCACACCAACTGAAAAAGAGGGGAGAGCAAAGTGACAGCTGGCCTTCATGGGTAGGTGTAACTGGGACACGCGGGGAGGATTCGACAAGACGTCATTCATCATTTACATTCGCGTGCAACATCCATGTTCAGATATTCTTGCTAATGCTAATGGGTGACTTACTCAACTAGGAGTGCTGTGAGGTCAATAGGGAGGGTCTGCTCTGCGCCGGGAGCCACAGCGTGTGAGGCTGCTGGGGGGGCTCTGCCGAAACAGAGTGAGGTCCGTGGTTCACACTCCTGAGTGCTTCATGTTGGGCGTTTACAAGACAATTACACATGGCTGTTCTCCCCACCTCATTTTTACGCAAGAGAAGATCACCTGGGCACTGGGATATAATGTCCACTTGCTCTTCCGCTGTCTGATCCACGGTCTTATTGACTGGTGTAAAGTGACATCAGTGGCAGTTCAGGTTTGTATATCAGGCTGAGTTGCAGTGACTGGAAAACATGTGTGAAACACTTGGTAAGGGGGTGAGGATCCTTCTGAAGGCAGGATCACTCTGTGTGGGTCAGCCCTGACAGAGGATCAGCCGTTCTGCAGAGGTAATGAGCATCACGGTTGTAGTGCAGGTACACAGGGCGCTGTTTGTTGCATACAAGGGTATTGAGTTGGCCAACGCAGAGGTGGAATTCTCTTTCCTCAGTCCTGTCAGCGGCAATAGTCTGTGCACAATGAAGAAATAAGATCTTCCTGAATGTAGAAATTGTTTATGGCTCATCGCACTCCAGGGAAGGGCCGCCACTGAACAAGCAACCTTAAATTACAAGCAGCGGGCACTTCCCATATAGCACTAGTCTGGGACAGAGAAATGAGTTGTGGAGGTACATAATACTGTCGTTTAATCTGATCTAGAGCTCAGTAGAGACATGTGCAGATGTGCTTCTCTATCAGTAACATGGGGATAACAATACCAGTCCAGGTGTCTCACAGGGGTGTCATGAAAATTAATTAGCTAATGTCTGCACAATGCTTTGAACACAGCGAAACTCCACGTACATGCTAAGTCCTGTGCTTACTAAGGTGGATGGGGTTTTGGTGGCTTTTAACCCTTTTTCTAGGAGACGGGAATAGCTTGCTTATAATCCATTTCAAAATTTGTGTATTGATTAATTGCTTTCCCTTCTTTCTTTAAATTTCTCTGTTTCAGGTTCTTCCCTACCCACATAAATGGTAAAATAATTCAAGGTTTTCCCTCCTCAGATTTAATTTAGATATACTTATTTTAAATCCATGGGCAGGAACATCTTCCACCAGATCAGGTTGCTCTGATCTCCATCCAACCTGGCCTTGAATGTTTCCAGGTATGGGGCATCTACCACCTCTCTGGGCAACCTGTGCCAGAGTTTCACCACACCCATTGTAAAATATTTCTTCCTTTTATCTAGTCTGAATCTCCCCTCATGCTTTAGGACTCTCTTTACCTGAGGGACTGTCCCATACTTGCATTTGAACATACGCTATAATGTTTGACTCAGGTCATCAGAGATGCTGAAAGATTTTGTGTCAGCCAGACATCTCTGTGTACACAAAAATAAAACAAACCCCTCTTTTTACAAGTTGTGCTAAATGTTACAATAATTTACTGTAGGGAGAGCAGACAGTTTCCATCCAGGGAAACATTTTCTGGATGGCAGAACAGCAACTGGAGAGATCTGAAATGACAGCATGCTGCTGAGCTTGATAAGAGCTTATCAACACAGCTACACAGCTGATGTTTGATCTTCCCTGTGAAGTGGAATAAAATGAATGTGTTGATTTCAATCAAGTTTCTGAAAGATAAGAGTGTCTATCGCAGAAAGCCCTCCTCACACGTACACCCGTGCAATATTGGGCGCTCATGAATTCAGCAGAGGTGTAAAATTGCATGGGGCAGAAGGAGTGCTCTTGGAGGGAAAGTGCTCTTGGGAGGTGGGTGGATGGATGGATGGACAGACGGATGGATGGATGGATGAATGGAAGGATGGATGGACGGACGTTGGTACAGCAGTAGGAAGGTCACAGTGCAGTTGAATATTGCAGAACAGAGAGTAATTCTGCAGAATTGGCAGACTCTTCCCATTTGCCACAAGACTTGTAGTTTGCTTTCCTTGTCATCACCGTTCCCACTGTCCCCAACCTTCGGAAGATGTAACTAGAGGGTGTGCACGTTGGCGAGGAGGCTTTTGCCTAGTTGGGTTCAATGTGCAGCCTGTGTACCTGCTGCCTGGCAAATGATGAGTTTGTCAGTCAGGCACACTTGCTCTTGGGGAATGAATTAAATGAATTAAATAAAAATACCCCTTCTTGTCTCCCACCCAGCTGTGTCCACTACTCCTGCGAAGCCACGGACTGCCAAAAGCTGGAGATCGAGAATGCGCGGCTGAACTGCACCAGTGGCGGGTGGTACAACGGTGCCCAGTGCAACGTGAGCTGCAAGACAGGCTACATTTTGCAAGTCCAACGAGATGATGATCTCAGCAAGAACCAGGTTTGTTCTGCTGTTTCCCTATGACCCACAAGACAGGGATGAGCAAACAGGTGTGGAGAAACTGAGAAATAATCCAGTTTAACACCCAAAATCTCAGCTCAGCCTTGGGACAAGGCCTTATGCAAATACCTCACATCAGAATATAAGCCCTCTGACTCTGTAGGAAGAGATACTGACAGTGAACAAAGCTCAGATGTTACCCAAATTTATAAATTTTCAACCCAAAAGCGTTGAAATATGAGTTCAGGTTGAAATATGTGTTCAGGCCTTCTCTGATCTCACTGGCTCTACTCAACCAGTGTTTCTTGGGTTGTGTTTTTGGGGGTCGGGTGTTTGGTTTTTTGCACAACCAGTTTCTGGGCAATATAACTCATTTTTATTCCTCAGCTTGAGGCTGACAGTGTCTTAACTCCTTCGCAGTGTTTCAGTCCATCTGCTCCCAACCACACCCTGACACTGCAGAAATGCATGGTAGCAAAGGGGTGGAAAAAGCACCCAAACCTTTTTACTTCCAAACAGAGCACCAAAAACCCACCCCAGAGGGCCAGGGAGTGCTCCCCAGTTTCTCCAAGCCATGTATTAATAACCAGACCTACAAAAGCAGCCTGTCTTGATGCAGTGAGCAGGGTATTGAGTAAAATTATCCATTTCTTTAAACATTAAAAAAATGCAGGTCCTGGGGGAGGTAGACAAGGTGTATGTGCAGCATGGCCCAGCCTCGGCATGCCGCCGGGAGCAGGGTACATGGGGTATGTGGGTGCAGGGCAGGCACCCTGGTTTGTGCTCTCACCTCTAATGCTGCCGCATCCCATGAGTGTGATGTGGAGGGGGTTTCCCCCATCGGCACCTTCTCGTGTGTTGCCGGGGCGGCACACACATCTGGGGCAGCACACACATCTGGTGCCGGGGGGGGGCTGGGGGCAGGCAGCCGCGCTCGGCAGCCTGTCTGTATTTGTGAAATGCTGTGTTCTTCATCAGCTCACAGAGGGGGGAGACAGAGTGGGGGGGAATGAGTCAGCCCTTTCAACTCAATTGCAAAACAAATACAGGACCCCGCAAACTGGGCCTCTTCCATCCTAATTGGCATCAGCACCAGAACCCCAGCTCCAGCTGAGCATTTTTGCAGAACAGAAAACAAGTTCTCGAACGAGCCTGAATGGCTGAACCAGGAAATAGTTGGAAGGGATCTGTACATTGAGCGCACAGGAATCCCAGACGAAATAAAACAGCCTAAGCATGTTTCACCCGCGCTGTTATTTAAACACAACAAGTACCTTTTAGGGAGGCTTAGCCAGCTGTATATGGTTTCGCTCCGAGAAGCTTGGTTGTGGAGCCTTGATCAGACTCATGTGATGGGAGCGGAGGGTTTTAGCACCCCTTGCTAACGTGATTCACTGCCTATTGCAACATGCTTCCTCTCACCCTGGCCTACTATTGCACTGCATCGTCTTTTTTCCATCGATGAAAACCCCGAGGCCAGTGGCTTTGTTTTGCTTAGTGCTGTGCATTCACTGTGCAAATCAGGGAAGGAGAGGAGCTTCGTAAAGATATCTGTGTTCAGCTAAACACATTAAACACGTGCTTTAGAAGTTTATTCATGTGCTTCGGAGATCTGTTGAAAAGGAACAGACAGTTTCTTTCACTATCATCTTGTTTTATTTCTTTGTGTCAGGTGCTTCAAGCCAGGAATGTGTAGGAAAGAAAGGAATTACCCGAGAAAGTCCAGAACCAGTGGTTTAGATTCCTCGTACTGTGTTGTATTGAATTGCATTGTGCTTTTTCCACAGTTGCTTCCCAGCTTCAGTTCCTCTGGTGATCACAAACATTTGGAGATGAGATAGGGCGTGTGGGTTGTTATCTGTGGTCGAAAGGACTTTCTGTCATGATTACGGAACCTTGCACAAAGCAGTTTGTTGTTTCACTGTGTCATTTGGTTGTATATTTTGCTTGTTTGACTGATTTGAGGGTCTAAAGCTATTTATTTTTCATTTAAGTGACAGTATAGGGGGCTGCACGAGGAAGAGGAGGAAGGAAAGTGTCTTTGCACACGCTGATGTGTCACACTCCGGGGTAGGAAGGAGTCTGAGGTGAGGTGCAATGCCTCAAAGAGCAGACAGAACATTGATGGCCCATGACCACTGCATGCTGATGACGATGATTGACAGACCAGTGAAAACACCCTGGTTTAGCATCTGAACCACGTTTGTCTTCTATATTTTACTGAAAAGCAGAAAAAGAGGGTGAACAGGGAATTAAAAGCAAAATTTTCAAAAGCACCTCAGAGGTGTAGGGGCACAAGTCACATATCAAATCAATCTCTTACATCTAAGGGATCTTTGAAAATCTTCTCAACAGTTTCTGCACTTTCTGGCCTCTGTGTCTTCTGAAGCCACCATTTTAATCAGTCTTAGGGCAACAAAATCATTCATCTCTGCCCTCTGAGAAGCTCCCGTTCCCAAATTCTGTTAAAACTCCATAAAATCACCAAACCTTAAAACCCGTCAGCACTATCTGCGGTAGAAAATGTTTGTTGTTTGAAATTTAAAAAAACAGCTGAGCTGTTTACAGACCCTTGGGCTCTCTCATCCTCATTTAGGGACTTCAGCAACAACAACAACAAAGGGTTTGCATAGTGATGGAGCAAAATCCTTCATGTATCTTTCTCACAAAGAAGATCTCGGGATGTTTTCATTTCCCCCTGATTTCTTCCCACCCCCCCGACAACTCCATCACTCTTTCTTCTCTTCTCCCCCTTTTCCCCCCTTTGTCTTTCACTGCTTTCCTCCCCCTTGTCCTTCGCTGAAAGCCCCGCTCATTCAGTTACTTGTTGTCATCTCTCCTTGAAGCTACCACCACTGCTGCTCTGGTCAAGAGGTGTTATTTAAAACCCAGCAGCTCCCTAATGTTGTGCAAAGGCATCATCAATCATGCCAGGAAAAGAAAGCGCGGCTCATGTGGGTTCAATTAGAGGCACAGTAGTGGGCAGCAGTGGAAGAATACTTAGAGGGGAGGGCACAGCTGTTCATTTTTAAGGAGAGGAAACTTCACACGTGAAGCATCGCTTGAAGAAGGAACCGGCTGGGACCTTGGGCAGCAGGAAGGAGACATGAATTCTCCCAGGCTGTTAAAAGTCCCAAGAAACAAATCTTTCTGGCACCAGATTTGTTTAAGTTTGCATCCTCTTCGCTGTACTGCACGCTGTATCTTTGGAGGCTCTTTTTTCCCCCCCTCTTTTCTCCTCTTCACCCGCCCTCCCTCCTTGCGTAAGCCTCTTTTGGAAGGCAGGACATGAAGGGAAGCAGTTGCCGTGATGCCAGTCAAAGCAGCGCAAAGTGCCCAAAGTGACAGCTAATAAACCAGATGAGAAAGCCAAGTGCTTCGTGTGGACTGCTGTGAGCGGGGTGACCTTGTCAGATCAGACAGGCGAAACAGGCACGTGCCTGCTCAGGCTTCGGGTGGGAGATGCAGATGCTGCCACAGAGACTCAGTGCCGGATGAAGGCAGCGCTGCTCGGGCTGTCGATGGGAAATACCCCCGAGGTGCAGCTTGGTGCTGGGGAGAGCCGGGGTCCTGCTCAACAGCCTGGGGTCCTGCTCTGCAATGATCCCACCTTCTGGTGGGACACTGCAAGGGGGAGAAGTCGAGGGCTGGTGGGTGCCATCTGCAATCATTTCCATGTTAGGGTTGTCCTCTGTGCTTTCCATCAAAGCCACTACTTTTTGTCTCCCTTGCAGGGAATGTTCTCTGTTGAGTTCTGCTGCAGAAATGCATGTGCTCCTATTGCTTGAAGTGATGACATGATAGACATGCTCTAAAATGTGCCATTATTATGTCTGACCTTGAAAACCTCAGCTTCCATCATACAAAGCGTGGAACAAATTACTGGAAAAAGCTGAGAAGCCAAGGTCTTACCCACACGGGCACAGCTTCTCTGCGTGGGAATGGCCTCGCGTTGTGCCAGGATGAGAAAAAGCCATATGGGTCTGAAAGAAGGTGACTCTTCCAGGTTTCGTTAGTGTTTTTGTTGAGAAGGTATGATGGGGAAAGACCAGAAGTGAAAACATGGAGGGACTCTCTTTATTTTCACATCAAGGTCTAGGGCAGTGGCAGAAATGAAGTGCAGTGGGAGTATAGCTGTAGTGAGGGATCCCTTCCAAGCAGGGTGACCCCATGCACGTTGCAGTTCCGGCAGGCTTTCTGCTGACAAAGGCCATGGCTGCAGCTGAAATACTCTCACAAGGGTTAGCCTGGGCGAAACGTTCTCATCCATTTTCTGTGAGGTGTGACTGTCATGCACAGATATTGCTTCTGTATAAATTTTTGTGTTATATTCCGGATTCTGAATTTGCACTGTTTATTTGGTGTTTATGGAGAAGTACATCGGATGTGCAACCCTGTCATTAGAGAAACTGCCTTGTGCACCGTACTGTGTCTCAGCAGCCAGTGTCAGCTTGTAGGAACAATAATTTATTCCTGAACTAGATCACACCAACAGTAATAACTGAATTCTTGGAGTTGAATCTCCCGTCACTGATAGAGCATCCCTGTGCTCAGCATGGATCCAGCGTCCAGCAAGATCCAGTGCAAGACCCACGTCTTTTCCATAATGTTTGGATATCCCCTGACATTAATAAGTCGGGTTTATGTTTTAGCCTCTTGTGGTCGAGGTGCCCAGCAGCCACAGTTCTGGAGTGTTATTTGGTCATCGCATCTGTTCAGGGAAACAGGCTTTGCTGAATGCTGGAGCATCCCAGCCTGGAGTGCGAATGTGGAGATGCTGCTGCTGTGTGTATGCATGATGAAGACATGGAAATGTGCTGTATGGCCTCTCCTGTGGCCATCACACCGCAACTCCCTGGAAACACAGTTGTCTTCAAGTCATCAGCTGTCTACAGAATATATATACTTTTTAATGGTGCAGATACCCTGATAAGCACAAAAGCAGAATTAATAGCCATTGGGGAGCAAAACGATTGAGAGTGAGAACACAGAATGTCACTTCACCTGAGCACTCCAAGAATCTCAGATTGTGCTGCTCTAAATTTGTAAAAAAGACATTTTTTTCCATCAGCGGTGCTCCCTGTTTAAATAAACTCCACCATCTAGAAAAGGGGTTTTGTGCCCACTTGGGAAGTGTCCAGTTTCTCAGCTCTGGGACTGCTTTTTCCATTCTGAATGCAACCATATATCAAAGGGAGACAGGTCTGAACTTCTGTTGAAACCATTAGGGTGTTTTTGCAAAAAGGGAATACAGGTCCCTTTGATGTGTGCTAGAAAAATTCCCCTTCCTTTTATAAACCCGGATCAATGGTCAGCAGTGCAAGTCTCCCGTGAGCGTACCAGCCCCGAATAAAATATTCCCTGGAGGCAGAGGAGAGCTGCTGTACAGCCTGGTCAGATTGCTCGCTGGTATCTTCCCCTTCTCGTGTTTGGGTTTCTCACATTTCTTTTTCTTCTCTCCCTCTCTTCATTCTGGTAGGGAAGGAAGTATCCTACTTTCAGGTTCTTCACTTCTAGTTTTAATAATTTCCCCTTTTTAGTAAGAAAGGGGATACGTTGTTTATTGTGTTCACTTTGTCAACATCTGTTTGTCCACCAGTCACCCAGTAAATTCTTCATCTTAGCTTTGGATGGGCGGCTCCTTTACCTCCCCCCCTTTTTTTTCCTCTTTTCCTAGCCCTTCAGGATTTCAATGTGCTGCATTGTTTGGATTGTTCCTTACATCCGTAGTAGTGTAGCTTCTCTGTAAGTACAACGGTAGAGTAACATAAGGGATGTCACAGCACAGGCACTGACTCTGTATGTGACCTCTCAAGTGCCAGGTGAACGTATGGGCAGGATGCTCCTGGGTCTGTCCATTGCAAACTCCTCCAGGAACAAGTCTGTCTCAGGCATACGTGTCCCTCGTGCCAGGGCAGCAGGGCCCTGGTGTCATTCGGAGCCTCAGGGCACACTGATGGTAAAAGCCGTAACAGCATCTGTCAGAATCTGAACACAATGTTGACATGGCCCAGGCCACTTCCCATGGTACCCCAGTCGAAGGGTGACTGACACCTCGTGGGGAGCCTCGGATGGGCGTCCCAAGTGAGTTCATCTCAGGTTGGCTTTTACTTCAAACCCAAGAGTGAGTTTGACTGCTCAGATGTACATGGGGATCCCCTTGGAGTGGCTGTGTCACTGCAAAGGTGACAGGGATGGAGGATGGCTGTCAGCTCCAAACAGATTTGCACCCTCCTTTCTGCTCCCAGGGCAGAGCAGCAGGCTTCCCGGCTCGTCGTAGGAGGCAATGTGGACAAGAGTTCCAATTATCTGTAGTGCTCCACTCTTTATATTGAAGCACTTGGGTGTCTCACCCCAGAGGTGACAGAAATACATCCTGGTTCTCTGACATGGTTCCTTGTGAGACCTTGGTGTTTCTAGTTTTGCCTAACTTGTGAGCCAAAATAATAGCTCTTCTTGGGCTCGAAATGGTTTTGATCTCACCCTTGCTGGCTGTGGTGGCTGTAGACATATGTCTTTTCCAGATGGAGTCCAGCATCACCATGACTTGCACGGATGGGAAGTGGAACAAGCAGGTGACCTGCGAGCCTGTGGACTGCGGAGTCCCAGACCAGTACCACGTCTACCCAGCCACCTTCAACTGCAGCGAGGGGACCACCTTTGGCAAGAAGTGCTCCTTCACTTGCCGACCTCCTGCTCTTCTAAAAGGTATCGGAGGGTGCCGGTGCCGTGACCTGGGGATAGCTGCACAGCTAACAGTCTGTGCCTAGTAATATATGGTACTGCGGCTGTTGTTTTAGAATTATTCATGATATTTTAAGTATGAAGAATTATGAGACTCTATGGGAAGGTTTATTTATGTTAGAAGTTAAGTTCCTTTGCATCTCTCTATTACCTTCCTTTGACCTTCCCTTGATCACGGCTGGCCAGGCAGTAATGACAGTGAATATTGCTTCCATATAACCAAAACATGGAAAAGTCATGGGGATAAATCAAATTGAGCTCTCTCATCTTCTTTCCCATGCCTTCTCTGTTTTCTGTGTCTGTCTCCCTTCTATGACTCCTCCAAGTATTTGAAAAGGCAAGAGAAGACTGCAAAGTCCCATGTCCCAGTGACACTGTCCCCCATCACTGGTTTTCCTAATCCACCCGTCAACTCTCTCCTTATCTGCAAATATCTCACTCTGCCTCAACCTTTCTCTCCTCTTCTTGTTTGGGACTCTCTACAATTTTTTTTTTTTCCTTAAAAATAATACTGCTGTCTTCTTTCCTTTTCTCCCCAATCTTCTTCCCTGCTGCTGTTCTGCTAGCATCCCCATCATCTCCTCAGCACCATCAACTCTTCTGCTCACTGGCACATTACCCTTTTTGTTCTGGTCCTCAGGAAACAAGAAAAGATATCATTGTTAATTTGAAGGAACATTAGAGCCAAATTAACTTGTCTCCTTGCAGAGGAGTAGTCGTAACTGCTGTTGTCAACTCAGGTACAAATGCTCTATAAGCTTGTTTTGTACATGGGGCATCACCTTTTCTGCTAGGATTCATTGCAAACCCCAGAAGAGGCAGGGGAAATGTTCTTCATTTCAGTGAAAGGATATGTTGATTTCTTCAATCAAATCACTTAATTCTTTGAACTCTTACTTAGGAGGGTAACCACAAGCAACCAACACACAGTGAAAGTTAAGACTGCTCAAAGGGGAGAGTCTTATCAAAGAAATCACCTTTTCTGTTCATACACTCGGAGGATCATCTTCAACAAGAGGTGTTTTTTCATTGAAAATGCCTGGAATTTTTTTGAGGGGGCAGTGAAAATGATATTCATCATGACCAACAAGAGCTGGTGACTCCGGCAGGAGGGCTGATAACCAACCCCCGGGTCAGGGGTGCAGCTGTGCTGTGTAGCATCACTTTTGTCCAGAAACTCTGTGAGCTGGGAGGTGAAGGCACCGTATGGTGTACAGCCACCGGTGATGACTAATAGATGTTGCCACTGAGCTTCTGGAGAATGACTCATGCCTAATTCAATCACTGACGTCATGACAGCCACTGTTGGTAATGTCACAGCTTATCACTTTGCAGTGGCAAGTATGATATCACCACGTCTGGTCTGCAGAGCTGCTGCGTGAGTCAGAGCAGAGGAGCATGCTGGTGCTCTAGAAAAGACCTCCCTTCTGCACAAAATACCTCTGCAATCATCTGCAGTTGGGGAGTGGAAAGAGAAAGCCAGGGCTGGTTTAATGCAGCTTCTCTTATCTTGATGGGTAGGGCAGGAGGGCTCCTCCACATACCTTCCTGAGCCCTCCAGAGCCTTTTGTTTTCGTCTTCTTTGAATTCCAGCCTCATGCCCCGTCTCTCTTCCTTCCCTCGCAGAGAGATGGCATTACTCTGGGGTTAGCAGTTTGTCGGTATTATTTTGGATAACTCCGAAGTTGGCTTACTGTTGAAAATATGCCTTGTGGGTTGAGAAGAGTTCCTGCAGCAATGTTTAGGGATTTCAATAAAGTATTAGGGATTTTTGAAGGGTTAGTGGCTCATAGCTGTGCTTTGTTTCTTAGGAAAAGCTTACTCCTTTTCAACATCGAGTATAAAATAACAAAGAATGTAAAATACACTGAGACTAGGCTACTTTTAGCTTAACCTTTTGAAGTCAAGTAGGTCATAGTGGAGGCAAATAGATCTATTGTACCTTTTACCTTTGAGGTGCTGGCCAAGAAAGCTTCCTAAGGAAAATGAGTCCCTAATGAGTATTATGAATCGTATTTATCACAGTAGTCCCCAAGGACTGAGAGTCCCCAGCTGAGAATGGCTCCTCATTGTGTTGGAGTAGTGACTCTAATACTAACAGATGCTGCTCCAAAAGGCACAAAATTGAAATAAAAAGAACAGATTCAGGGAAGAAATATAACACAGAAGCAGAATGAAGAAAGCAATGGCACCAAAACCTCTGTTAATGGCATGACATGGAGAGGAGGGGGCTGATGTATGAAGCAAGCTTCCTTTCAGAGGAGAACAAAATAAGCAAGAGAAATACAAAGGATTACAAAGCCAGTGTGGTTTCCCCTATGCTATAGCATTTCCTGAAATAAGCACTGTCTGCCTGTCATCTGCAGAGTCCTTAATGATTTAATGCCACCATCTAGAAAGAGAAAATGCATAGGACATACACAGCTGAATTTGTCAAACCAGCTGAGGTGGTTTTTGATATATTATGGGTGTAATGACTAACGTTGTTAACTTTGCTCACTGTTCTTCTCAGGGAACAACAGCAACTTGACCTGCATGGAGGACGGGCTGTGGTCCTTTCCAGAGGCACTGTGTGAGCTGATGTGTCGAGCACCCTCCATCGTCCCCAATGCAGATCTCCAGACTACTCGTTGCCGAGAAGATAAGCACAAAGTGGGCTCGTTTTGCAAGTACAAATGCAAACCAGGTTACCATGTCCCTGGGTCCTCCAGAAAAGCAAGAAAGTACGTGAAAGAGTAATTCCGTGCCATCAGCATGATTCAGGAAGCCATTAGTTTAAATGATTTTGGAAAAGGGATGGGCTGCTTATAACAGACTATATGTGCTGTAGGAAATATCACTGAGCAATTCCTTCATGCAGATCGTTGTGCAGTTTCAGGGAGGTTTAGGCACCTAGCTCACTTAGGCTGCTTTGAAAATCCTAACCAGTGCTCGAAAACAGACCTTGCCTTAGAAATACCCCTTTGATATGCAGCCTGGGGAGTCCCCTTTGAAACTCTGCAGGAAAGGGTTAGTGCTATTGTATACTTCTGACTCTGCACAAACCCACTTCAAACCAACCACAGTCCACAAGCCAGGGAAGCAGAGTTCTTGTGAGAGATGTCCAAGGCCAAAAGAGGAGTTTAGGCTGGGCAGCTCAATGTTGGCTTTGAAAATAATCGTTATTTTTGCTCAGTGACTTCATGACGCAGATTCTCAACTTGTTCCCCAAGTGTTAAAAGCTCAAGCACACTCATCCCCTGCAACCTGTTAGCAGAGCTCAGAGACTTTAGAGGCTCTTAGCTGACTCAGCCACTCATTAAATGTCTTGTTTTTTCTGCTCAAAAAAGGCGAGCTTTTAAGATCCAGTGCACACAAGACGGGACGTGGTTGCCGGGCGCTTGCGTGCCCGTTACCTGTGACCCTCCGCCTTCCAAGTTTCATGGGCTCTACCAGTGCTCCAATGGCTTCCAGTTCAACAGCGAGTGCCGGATCAAGTGCGAAGATGATGACATGCAGTCGGTGAGTCTCTCTCATCCAAATTATCTCAGTCTATACAAGCGTGGGTTTGTCATAGGTTCCCTAAGGACCCTGATCTTGGAGGGACCAAGTGCCACTGAGCTCTTCTGAGACCAGACACAGAAATTGAGAAGGGAAATGTGTAATTAAAGTAGAGTGAGAGAGGTACTGCGAAGAGCCTGGAGATACTATCTTTATGATAGTAGTAATGGTAATAGCTACTACCCATAGAGGACTAGCAGTGACTTACTGTTTTGGAACAAACTGGCTCTATGATCTAACTAGAAAATAAGGAGTAATGAATGAAAGTAAGTAGGATCAGAGTTACCCACACTTGTTCTGTTTGTTCATTCCTTTTTACCATTCTTTTCTCTCCAATTCTTTTTCTCATTATCATTGTATGTATGTGTGCCATATGATAGTTTAACTTCATAGGGATTACAGCTATTCAGGAGAACTGTCTCTAAACTTTCATGTTTTTCTGGCTGCAAAGGTGTCATTTGGCATCAGGGGTCAGATCCTCATCTGGCATAAATCAGCATGTTGCCTTTGACTTCTTAGGACCTGTGTTCACTGATATGAGAAGGTCTGGCCTTTAGTATCTGGTTTGAAATGCTTAGTTTTCCTCACCAGAAGTAATTATAGTTTATGAGATAAGTAACTTCTTCCAGAAGTGCTGCTGCTACTACACACACTGCAGAGAGCAGGGAGTGCTCTGTCAAAGGCCTTTTAATGTCATTCCAGATTCTGAGGACATATTAAAAAGTGACCAACCCTGCCTTAGGGACAGTGATCTGAAAGATAGCTGATACCTGCTCCAAACATCAAAAGCCCAGCTGCTGCCCACATTCCCTCCCAGACCAGCCTGCCCTCTTCATGGGACAAGAGGCAGAGCCCTGGGATTTTACACTGGGGCCCCTGGAAAAGGTTTTCCTTGTATAAGGCTTATGTGAGGTTATGAGCCTTGTGAAATGAGAAGGTGCACACATGGGTGCAGTTGGTGCTCTGGATACGGTGCCTGTGGCTTTGCGCACCCACCACTTGCTCAGACTGGTCAGCGTGGCTGAAGACGCCTACCACTGCTGGCAGTGCCAGGAAACCAGGGCCATCGGGGTAATGACAACGGGTATAACCGACTTGTGTTTGCTTTTAAATGGGCTGGATGTGAAGCAAGCAGTGGAGTCAGGGTTACAGCAGTAATGAAGTGAGCTCTGGAAAGTGAGAGATACAGCTATTTTTTAGTGACTGTTCAGCTGCGAAAGCACCTCGAGCAAAGGAGCAGATAACATCTTGAGAAAGGGATTTGCAGAGAAATGTATTTCCAGATATCACAGAAAATAGACTATAGCAAAAGAGGGAGGACTCCTAGCACAAGGCAGAACCACTTGAGAGGTGTTAATTATTTAAGGATTAAACCCCACTAAGTCTCTCGCAGCTATATAAGGTGATAATGCACATTGCATCCAAGCAAGAAGCCCAGCAGGGATTTTCACAAGAGATTTTGCAGGTCAGGGAATGATGGACAGTATGTTACTATAGCAATGGATATCCTGGGATCTTTGAGTATGTTGCAGAAACTATTCAATAGTACCCTCAAGCACAGCCAGGTCCAGGAACATGAATCAGGTTTCATGGCTCACCTTTAAAAATTATGCTTGAACCCTGGCAGGCAAATTGCGATGGAAGTGCACCACACTTGCTAAAACAGCAAATTGTGCTCAATTATCACTTAGCGACCTCTTCCTGAATTTGTCACCATGCTGAAAGATCGTTACTCAGCTGTACATATGGCATCTCTTAATCACCAGGAATGTAATGGTCATTTAAACAGGTACCTCCCCTGGCACCCAGAGCAAGGGTCTTCCATTTCTGAATATTGTGCACAAATCATACGAGCAGTCAGATCGAAATTAGTCTCTGCCAAACTGGCCCTTAGGTGAGAGTCACCAAGCTGGATCACACCCTGAGTCCATCTGGTCCATTATCCTTTCATATGATTTCCTTATTACTTCTGGCAATGGCCAGATGTCTGGAGAAGGGGAGGCAGGTCCCACGCAGTAGTCTGCCGGTAAGACCACTTTGCATCTCACTAAACATTGTGTTCATCAGCAAAACTGAGCAAAAAAAGCATTAGGGTGTTAAGTATAAGACTAACACCAAAGGTTGCCCAGTCTTCCACGCTGGTACCAGGGGCTGTGCAGTTTCCTTTGCAGCAAGGGGGAAGAGCTCCTATAAAAGTTGAGCAGCCTTGCTGGGATCCCAGCATAGCCAGCACTCTAAAGGATCCCCAGAGATATCAAGCGCAATCTCCAAGAGCAGGGTGGGTAGACTGCAGGCAACATGCCTGACCTAAAATGGGTGAGGAGAAGCAGAGATCCTGCGTGGTTCTCCCACCCAGCAAGGCCCCTGCGGGAGGTTTGGAGCCCAGCCACACCAGACATCCTCCTGTTGAATGTCCCACATTATCCCATGGCAGTTAGGCTCACAGATTCTGCAGAACAGCTTGCACAGAACTCCCCAATGCCACGAGGATAGATCTGACAAAAGATTGCCTGTGCACTTCTTTGTTGTTTCTAAAGGGCATGATATTTCCCCTTGGACTTTGGTATTCATTCTTCAGTATCATACAGAGAATCTTTTCTATAAGAGAAATGTCATATTCTATTCCTTGCCCATTCCCACACCAACAGACTCTTTTTCTCCTTTCCACCTGCCTCTGTGTGTGTCTGTCTCAGCCTCTTCGCTTCTGTCACTCAGGGCAGCCAAGCTCTAAAGAGCACGTTCTGCCCTGCTAAGCATCCCTGCCCAAGTCCCACTTCCCTTCCTCCTTCAGATGGCCATTGGGGGATTCTTTCTTTTTCGAGGCAAGGATGATGCAACTAGTTAGAAAATGGGAAGAGGGAAAAGGTGGTGTGCATGCAACACCAACATCTCAACAACAAGAAAGAAGGCAAATGGGGTGAATACACCTTTATTGCAACTGGAGTGGGTCTGTTTTGGGGCAGAGACCTTGCAAGGGCCTTGTAAAGACACTACAGTGCACAGAGGAGGCAAGCAAGAAATTCCTTCCGGAGAGGGTGAGAAGGCACTGGGACAGGTTGCCCAGAGAAGCTGTGGATGCCCCATCCCTGGAAGTGTCCAAGGCCAGGCTGGATGAGGCTTGGAGCAACCTGGTCTAGTGGAAGGTGTCCCTGCCCATGGCAGGGGGGTTGGAACTAGATGATCTTTAAGGTCCCTTCCAACCCAAACCAGTCTGTGATTCTGTGTGTGTGTGTTTGCATGAAATGCAGGCTTCCTTTTTTTTATTCCTTGGTAGAAAACTCCTTGCCTGCCAGTGCTGGCAGTCCCAACCCCGGGCTCTTCCAGCTTCAGCAGAACTTTGCTCCCAGCTCAGCTCTGCCCACTTTTACTTCTCAACATGTCCTTGCTGTTGGTTTTGTGACCATCCTTGTTATCTCCTTCTCTCATTCCCAGGGCCGTGGAAGCAATGTGATTCACTGCCGGAAGGATGGCACCTGGAGCGGCTCCTTTCATCTCTGCAGGGAAATGCAGGGCCAGTGCACGCTGCCCACGCAGCTCAACAGCCACCTGAAGTTGCAGTGCCCCGGCAGCTACGGCATAGGTTTGTGACCATCACCCCTGGCCACCTGTCGTGGAGCGGTGCAGCTCAGACAGGAGTGGGGAGCAGTGGGATAGGAGATGAGGAAGAGGATGGGAATGAGGGAGAGGAAGGAAGGAGCCTGCAGTCCTTGAAGTCACCTTCTCCTGCGGACCCGCTTGCCTGAGTGAGAGGCTGTTATGGGAGGCTTTTCAGGGAACTGCTTTTAGGAAACATGAAGCTTTCAGAGGCCAGGCATCATGTAACATGCTCTGATCATCTGCTCCTTGCAGCGCTTCCAGTTTCATTCTGTCCTTTCCTTCCTGCACTCAGCTTTGCTTTGTGTCACCCAGGCCAGGGGGGGGAGAGACCACACGGGATCGTACACGCTGGATTGTGTTTTCAGCCCCTGTTTTTGAGGTCTCCCTGATGTAAGGGCTGCAGTGGGGACTGCACCGGCTACAGCCCACACAGACCCGCGAGGCCCCTTCCTGCAGCCCCGCTCCCAGCCCCCTGCCAGCCCCCTCCTCCCTCCGCCTGTCCCTTTGAACTTGGAGAAATTTCCTCGTTGTGCGGCTCCCTCATTATATCACAGCCATGCGAGGGACCACGAGCCTCCTTGTGTTTCCTCCCCGGGGAGGAGAACACGACCTGGATGAGATCACCGCTCTGTAATGATGCCAATTACAGATCATATATCAAAACAATTCCGATCCGCTCCTTTCCATAAGCGTAAATAGTGTGGCGGATCGCGGGAGAGTGAGTGGCAAGCAGGCTGCGGCGACTCTTAATGTGGCGAGGGGTTTTACCCTTGAGATGAGGAGGGAAAAGCCAATTCCTGGTTTGGAGGGGAGCATCTCAGTGCTGGAAGCAGGAGGGTCTGCCACTGCCCAGGCAGTAGGCACCAATCAGCCCGCGGTCCCCCCCAACCCTGCCAGAGAGGCTGTCAGCAGGTGCCGCTCCCAGATGGAAGGTCCAGAGGGCCTGATCCTGGGATGGGACCATGCAGCCCTCATGGAGGCGAGGGACTCATGGGCCAGATCCTCCATGTCAGCGTGGCTCTTGCTGGAGAGGTAGGAAGCGAGTGGGGGTCTATGATTCTATGATTCTAAGAGCTTGGTGAGGGCACAGCGGCCATTGGCTCTTGTCCTCAGCAGATGGAGACATACCACACCCGTTGTTAGGTTCGCCCAGCACCACCTTTTGGCACCAGGTTGTTGGGGTTTGTTTTCTTCTTTGTGTTTTTGGAAGCCTGATCGATGCCCTTCCAAGAAGGCGCTGTCCTGCTGCTCACTTGCAGTGGGGCTGGTGTCAATGGGCCTCATCCAGCGGGTCCATGGAGCCACTACTATTTGTGCTGGGAAAGCAAAGCAAACCCCAAGCGCTCCCAGTCTTGCTGGATCCACAGCCTGGGTCTGCTCTGCTCCTGCTCATTCCTCCACATGGGAGTGCCTGAGAAGGCAGAAGCAGGTGGGGAAAATAACAGCATCCAGTCATGGTCACTCTGAATCCCACACACCTTCCGTAATTCCTCAGACACCTAATCTGCCCTTGCAGGCTGAGGTGTGTGTGGAGCCCAATGTTCAGCTCTCCAAACCAGTGCAGAGATTAATTCCTCCCCCAGCGCTGATTGGAGTGCAGAAATCCTAATGACATGCTTGCAGCAGCTGTGCCATTCAAGAGTGATTTTCCAGGGGGGGAAATGGTAATGGTCCAACACACTAGGGCTTACAGTTGTGTCACCACAGGGCTCTGGGATATTGCTGCAGAGTATCGCAGCATGTTTTAATAAAGAAAGGACAGGATTCCCACTGGGCATGACAGTTAATCAGGGGAAAAGCAGGTTTATGTGTGAACAAAGCCATCATTACCTCTCTGCGTACTTCTTATCGACTGTGGGACTTAGGTGATCGCTCGTCTGCAATATCGTTAGGCTTGATCACCCTCCAAAAGATTGTTATTGAAGGTCTGTAAATTTGACAGACCAAACGGTCAGGTTTTGTCATGTCATAGGTGAGATGAGTTCAGCAGCCTCTGCTTAATCAGACCCATTGCTTGAAAGAGCAGTTGAAATGGAAAAACTCACATTTTCTTGATGATCTGAAAGTGCAAAACCTGACTCCCTTCTTGGAGTTAATAGTCAGAGAAACACCCAGATATGCAGCTCATACAAAAAGGCCCTGGAATATCTGCCACCCCCACAATCTCCTGCTGAGATGCAGGGTTGTACTCAGCATTTCACATGTGGCTAGGAGATATGTGATAGTTATGGTTGACTGCTAATTGCAATTTAGGAAAAATGAGCCCTAATCTTGTCCTTCAGCTGGAAGGATGCTGAAAGGGTCAGAAGCTGCTTGCTTTATCTTTTAGCTTTATCCTCTCTATCTTCCGTGCAGGCGCAGAATGTACCACCTCATGTCTGGATCACAGTCATGAGCCCATCCTGCTGCGTGTGAACGAGACTGTGCAAGACATCCAGCACTGGATGAACCCTCAGAGAGTGAAGGTCAGTGCCTGACAATTTCACTGTGTCCCTTGGTACATGTTTATGAGCAGTGAGTGAACCAGTGTTACCTGTGGTGCGTTCAGTTATGGGATACGTGCAGAGTTCTGCCCTTTAGAAAAGAATTCCTGATATTTTTTGTGTCTTTGCATGTTCTTCCAGTAACGTGGTGACTTCCTCTCCAAGTTGCTTTCTCTCTGTGGTTTCCCAGTGAGTCAGGTCAAGGTAAAGGCCCCACATCAGTGTGCTCGGATCCACCCAGCACCTACAGTGGGTCTGATCTGGAAACATGGCTCATTACACAGGAAGACGTGATGGGCAGTGAGAGAAAGGGCACCGGCCAGGTTTTATTTTCTTCCTCCTGTTCAGTAGTTTGCATTCTTTGGGTGGCAGGGCTGGATTGTTCTGTACTGCTTTTGGATGACAAAAGAAGCTGATACAGAGGGTATTTCATTTCTCGAACCAGCAGAGCTGGCTGAGTCCTCCCCCCGTCCCTCCACCCACATGTGAGAGATGCCTGCTCAGCACAGCCCCTTCCAGAGGTCACCGCTTCCTCCTGCTGCTGCATTAACCGCTCACGGCACTCGTCCTCTGTGTCCTCCAGCATGTGCCAGAGTCGGGCTGCCCCGATGGGGACATGCACATCCATGTCACACGCTCGCCCCTGTGCACACGTGCCGTTTGCAGCAAAGAGCTGCTTGGTTTCCTGCCTACACTTGGGTACCAGTGAGAGACACTCAGCTATCTCCTGGAAACCGTCATGCCATCTACACCACTGTGCCCTCCTGCCTTGGAGTGCCCATACCCGGGTGCTTGTGCCCACGCAGTATTTCTGCATGTGTAGAGGTTTATCTGGACATGCCCAAGTGCATGTCAGAAGACGCTGGCACATCCCATATCACCAGGCTGCAGGTTGTTGGTGGTGTTTGAACAAGCACTGTTGCTTTTGCATGCTTGGTCTTGGCTTGGCAGGAGTCTTTTTTACCCACTTGAACTCGATTTAGGAGGAGAAAAAGCAGCTCACACAGCCCCAGCATGGCCTGAGCAGCTTTGACAGTCTATTTGCTTCTCCATGTGACTAAGTATGTAGCCAGGGTTTGGGATTTTTGAAATCTGGCCTTGGCTGTGGGTAGAGAGTCACTTCAAAAATATCTGCGACTTTATACTTCCCTATTTCACACAGAGCAATAGAATAAATCCTGGAAAGGGGTGGGGAATCTAAGACCAGAGAATACAACAAGCTGTCCTTCCCAGCTTCCCATTCACCCAAACGTCAAGATTATATTATGGCGTAAGCCTAGGCTTTGCCAAGTTTCTGGCATGAAACATAAAGAAAACCCCTATCTTTGTATTAGGGACAATTTCTCACTGGCCCTTTCCCGAGTGCTAGACTTTAAAGTGGTTTTGTAATTCATGGTGAAATAAAGGGACAGCTTCCCTCCCATTCTCTGCTGTGCTTCGTTTGTTGATGCGGGTACGCAGAGGGAGCTATAACGAGTTTTATACCTGCAAGTCTCTGGAGGGCTCATTAGGCAGCAGGGAAAACATATAGTAGTACAGGAGGAGATGAGGGGAGTAAGGGATGGAGGAGAAATTATGGTTTCCAAGAGTACAGTGGTAAATAAGACCTTTTTTGCCCTGATGGTGAGGATCTTGAAAGAGCTTTAGGCTGTGAGCAGATACAAGTTTGACCCCACAAACACTTTGTAACCAGAGGGTGAGATTTGGGCTTGAAAATGTGGGAGATGAAGGGGAGCCTTTAGGAGACGAGTGGGATGATACTGAGATTCGCTGGAGGGGATTTTTTGGTAGCTGTAAAACATCCATCTTATACAACTCCCCAGTTAAGGGGAAGTCACCCACAGGGAGCAGTGCCTCGTGGCCTCTGGGGGAATGCTGCTGGGACTGGGGAGACTCTGGAGAGAGGGGACCAGGATGCCTTAGGGGAAGGTCCCCGTGGCAATGTGTTATATATCAATAATGATATGTGTCTCTATTTACGGCCAGTGACATCTTGCTGTTGTGCTGGGCGAGTAAAGCGAGCAGCTGGGTGCATTTTCACAGCAAGTCTTTGTGGATCTCAAAGTACTTGAGTGATAAAAAGGAAACACTTTTAGTTACCTAATTTTAGGCACAAGTAATGTACAAATGTATGAGAGGCAAATAAAGGCAAGACCTATCCCTGGAGCTTGCCTTTGCAGGCATGGATAAAACATAGGGAGAGCTGTCAAGGAAAAAAATATTGGTGTGTAGCTGCTCAAGCAACAGCTATTATGGAAGTAAAGTGGGAAGAGAGAACCATCCCTGCTCTGGGGGTTTTTTTTGAGCAGAGCTATGCAAATCACTTGATTTTTCAGTTTGCTGCAGGTTCTGTCAAATTAAATGTTTTAATTTCTTAATTAATTAAAAAAGTTTAATTCATTTTTTTAATTAATTAAAAAATATTTTCTCTTAATCAAAGTGACTTTGTTGTTGTTGTGATTTTTGGTGAACCAGAAAGTTGGAGAAAAAACCCGTGTTGGTTTGAACATAACTTAGCATTTCATTTCCATGAAATTTTTTTAAACTTTTCATTTAATGAAAATGAAAAAAGATTAGAAATTAAATATCCACTCAAAGGAACAACAACAGATAGTTCATTTTGAAAAATGTCTAAATATTACTCTTTTTCAGAACTGGTTCAGGCTGAGTTCCTTTGTTGGGTCTGAAACAGTTTGCCGAAATCAGAGTGAGTTGGCAGTGTCTTCCAAACCTTGGCAGTGTCTTCCAAACCAGTATTTTCAACAGGAAAAAAACCCCAATTCACCTGAAATCTGCCATGTGTCTGTCGTTCTGCAGCGGGCTGTGTTCTGAGCAACCCTTGCTGTTCCCATGATTTCCCATTTACCGTGCGCGTGCAAGGGGCAGCGAGCTGTGGAAGACACCCGTAGATGGAGCTGCCAAGGCTGACTATGCAGGCAGTGGAGAGAAAAACGTGAAATGTCTCAGGAAGACAGCTTGACAGCTCTTGCTCACTGGCTGCAGAGAAGCAGGGCAGACACCTAATTTCTTAGGTTGTCTGAGTTTGGGTCCTTGCCTTTATACTGAGCCAAATACTGTGCAAGCACGTGCATGCACGAGATAACCTTGAATGGGTCGTCGTGCCCCGACTCTGCCAACAGCAGGGCTGAGAGTGGCCATGGCCCCTCCGCACACCTGGGACACTGCCCTGCTGCTGGTGGTGTGTTTTCCCGTATGTACTGCAAACCCTGCGATTTTGGATGTCCAGAAGTAGGGGTATTCTCCTTAAATACACCCCTGTTCATTTCAGCTTTGCGGTTTTCCTCCTTCCTTCCCCTTTCCTCGTTCTGTGAGCACTTGGCTCATTTTGCAGGCAGGGAAACTGAGTCACTGAGCGATGAAATGACTTAGTGCAGTGCTCAGCAGCCGGGAAGGCAGGTCTTTCCACTCTGTAGATACAGGAGGAAACAGCCACAAAGCATCATATCTCCCCTCCCTTGGCAGCAGCAGCAGCTGATCCCCTCACCCCCGCGATGTTAAGCCCATGGTGGATTGTCATGTTCATTTAGTGCCAGAGGAGAGAGTTAGCTGAGACCAGTAGATGCCGGTCCCTGGGCTTTAGTCCTCAGGGACACTTCACCCATCTAAGGTGGAGAGGAGCTCTCCACCCACCTCTCCTGGGGAAACCGAATCCCCTGCGCAGCCCACAAATGGTTGACATCATTGTGTTAGTCCCACCATGGGAGGGAAGCACCGTGACTGGAGGCACTAGGTCTTCCCTCACAAGGAGAAAATGACAGCTTGATTTACTTTCTTGGCTCTTTGTTACCTACTGTGGGAGTGCATCCCGGCTTCCTCTCCCTTCGCAGCAGATGGAGTCACAGCCACCAAACCGCAGACGTAGCTGGGTGGCGTTTCTGGGATGGGGACAGGACCAAAGTCAATACACCCGGCTGCGCAGCGTGGCCAGCGCGGGAGGGCAGCTGTGCTGCGGAAGCCGATGCACGAGGGGAGCCGGGGCCATGAGGGCAGCATATGTCACCACTGCGGCTTGGAGCACGTGCCGGCACAGGGAAGGGATGGGGCTCACAGATGCTGCGGCCAGATGGACTTTATCCCCCGTGCACCGCCTGGCATGTGTCAGATGCGGCCCTTCCATCCACCTCTTATCGCAGCCTTTGCCGGCCTTGTAAGCCCACCTTCCTGTCTCCACACACTGACGCCATCGGACCCGGGTCACTGCTGCCTGTACCTCTCCTTGCTTGCTCTGTATATGTTTGTTTATGTCAGCTGCCCCGTGCAGCGCTCTATGGCACCCTTGTGCCTGGTGGCACTGCAAGAGGCAGGAATGATGCCCAGCAAGCTGACTCATTCCCAGATCCTTAATTTTCCAACCCAGACTCTCCCTCTATGAACAACCTCTCTTCCATCTCATTGCTCCGTAGACACCACAGCAGCAGCTTGAGGGTACGAACAGGTTGGGGGGGGGAAGGAATTCGGGGTTTGGAAGACCAACAAGAGGAGTCAGGGTTATCGCTGACGGCCTTCCCTGAGTGTATTCTGCTTCCAGCTCCAGGGATGTTAGAAGGATTGAATTCAGCTAGAGTAGCTCTAATGGTCTCTGCTAGCCTAGCAAAGAATCACCTGAGGAGAGGGAGAAGAACTGGGGTTAAGCCATTGGCAGGTACCGCTTGAGCAACGTGAATGTCCCACTGACCCAGTGATTAATGTAGCACAAGGTCAACTGGCTTACCTCTGCTGTGGAGAGTGGCCCAGGGCTGCACCCCCTTTCCCAGGAGGCTGTCCAGCCCTTGGGATTGAGATGACCTTGAGTGAGCTCCAAGGACAGCACCATCCTAGCAGAGACTTCACCTTACATCTGTTCCTCTAAGGGGGGGTGCTGGGTTTTTAATACTGGGAGGGTCAGGAAAACAGTCAGTATATCTTCTGCAAGGGATTGCTCTCACTTGGAAACCTCCTTTCTTAAACTGTTTCAGGGCTATTTGGCTCCTTTTGTTAGCTCCAAATGCTCATACACATTCACACATATTGAGAGGTTTTGTAAATATTGATGTTTCTTACCAGGGGAATGTGAGATGCTCTTTGGAAGTGCACATCTACTCATTGTCTGGCTGGCCTTGGATGCGGGAGGCAAATGCCTGAGTTTTTCTACTTTGGTTTAATTCTTCAGTTCAAATGCTCTTGAACTGCTTCCTTTATTCTCCCCCCTCCCGGTCTGTTGACTGGCCTTGTTTATTTTGAAACCTAGAAAAGTTTCCCTTTTTTTCCCTCTGAAGTGCAGTAAACAGAAGAGGGGGGGAAAAAAAAACCGGCAGGCAACAGCCTGGAAATCTCCAGCTGTCTGTCAAGAGTGCGCTGGGGGAACGTCTGACACCGCAGGGCCCCCGCACCTTGTGGCCTCCCTCCCAGGGGATAAACAACATCGTCCCCCCTTGCCCGGCCGCTTCTCCGCTCACACAGACGTGCCCTGTTGCAAGGCAGGTGGGGCAAGCCAGGCTTGACTAATAGTGGAAAATCCGAGAGCATCGGAAAGATAAACAGCCCAAGTCAGATAGTATAAAAGTCCCTTTTCTAGCACACGCCAGGTAAGCCTCAAATGACAGAAACTGTAAAAACATGCTGAGGTTCCCCTGCAGATGGATTAAATTAGCCCTCAGATAAACAGGAGAGGGATGGCTTGTGCGTCAGGTCTTCCCAAATGTTAATCCCTTCCTTCCCCAGGCCTCCATCCAACCCCGACCCCTGCCCTTGGGAAAGTGACTGTGTTCATCTTACCCAGTGGACACTGTAGTGTTTCATGCACGGACACTAACCCAAACTGGATGTTGTGCCTGATGGCCTGGTTCAGGGTGGGAGTCCTGTTTCAGGGCTGGGAGTCCTGTCTCACAGATCGCCGTGGTAGTGAACCACCATATCCACTGAATGGCCAAATTCTTCATTCTCTCTTAAAATCTAAGTTTTTGTGTCTACAGGCAAATGATGGCTGCCCTGCGTGTGTCATCATTGAGTAGGCTGGTCATCATTTTTTCCCAAAACTAGGCATTCCAGAATGTATTATAAGCATGGAAGTTATTATAAAGCTCATATAACATAGCAGGTGAGGCTGTCCTGTCTGGGGCTTATTCTGTAGGGAGATGCTTCCATTTAAGAACTAAAGGATGGGGCGAAAATGGATCTGAAAGTCCACCTTTAGCAAACAATGTTTTGCAGCACCGAAGAAATCCCTCAATTAATTCTAAAATGTTTCCCACCCCCTACCCACCAGCAGGACAGTGGACCAGTGCCTTTGCCTTTCCCGCCCACGTTTCCCCATCATGAGTGACATATTGGACATGGCATTCTAAGAGAACCTTAAATATTATTTTAATCTCAAATGTTCTGTTATTGCAAGTGTCAAGTCCAACACTTCTTGTAAATACCTGGAGGGCAGCCAGGTCCCGAGAACACAAGAGGTGTTAGGAACTGAACTTCATTGGTTAAGTACAGGAGAGCCGTAGGA